TTTTGGTAATAGCTTCACATTTTTTGGTGATAGTTTTGCATTTTTTGGTGATTGTTTTGCATCTTGTTATGGTACTTTACTTTTTTTTGGCGATTGTTTTGCGTTTCCTTGTAGTAGTTTTGTGTCTCTTTGTGGTAGTTTTGTATCTTCGGGTGGTAGTTTTGCATTTTTTGGTGACAGCTTTGCATCTCATTGTGGTAGTGTGCATCGCTTGGTAAAAGTTTTGCGTTTTTTAGTGACAGTTTTGCATCTCTTTGTGGTTGTTTGCATTTTTTGGTGATAGTTTTGCATCTCTTTGTGGTAGTTGTGCATCACTTGGTAAAAGTTTTGCATTTTTTGGTGATAGCTTTGCATCTCTTGGTGATAATTTTGCATGTTTCTTATGGTAGTTTTATGCCTCTGCATGGTAGTGCTGCGTCTTTGAATGACAGTTTTGCGCCACTTTGCGGTAGTTTCTGCATTTTTTGGTGACTAGTTTGCATCTCTTTATGGTAGTTTTGCTTCTTTTGCTGATGGTAATGTGTTTCCTTTTGGTCGTTTTTCATGTCCCTGTGGTAGTTTTGCACCTTTTTGTGGTAGTTTGCATCTCTTGGTGGTAGTTTTGCCGGGGTGTTTTTTGGTAATAGCTTCACATTTTTTGGTGATAGTTTTGAGTTTCTTTGTAGTAGTTTTAGGTCTTCAGGTGATAGTTTTGTGCCTGTTGGTGATAGTTTTGCATCTCATTGTGGTAGTTTGCATTGCTTGGTAAAAGTTTTGCGTCTCTTTATAGTCATTTTGTGTCTCTTTGTTGTAGTAGTTTTGCATATATATGGTAGTAGTTTTGTGCCTCTGTGTGATAGTTTTGCTTCTTTGAATGATAGTTTTGTGCCTGTTGGTGATAGTTTTGCATCTCATTGTGGTAGTTTGCATCGCTTGGGAAAAGTTTTGCATCTCTTTATAGTCATTTTGTGTCTCTTTGTAGTAGTTTTGCATATATATGGTAGTAGTTTTGTGCCTCTGTGTGATAGTTTTGCGTCTTTGAATGATAGTTTTGCATCTCTTTGCAATAGTTTATGCATTTTTTTATGACTGTTTTGTGTCTATTTATAGTAGTTTTGCTTCTTTTCTTGATGGTTATGCGTTTCTTTTTGGTAGTTTTTCGGTTCTCTGTGGTAGTTGTATGTTTTTCGGTGATAGTTTTGTGTCTCTGTGTGGTAGTTTTGCGTCTTCTGATGGTTTCTTTGTGGTAGTTTTTCAAATCAAATCAAACTTTATTTATATAGTGCTTTTCATACATTAAAAATGCAACACAAAGTGCTTCACAAAAACAAAACAAAACAATGAAAAGCCCTCCCCTCCCACCCCTCACGTATAACACACACACACACACACACACACACACACACACACACACACGGGGGGGAGGGGGGGGGTTCACACTTCATTTTGTGCCTCTCTGTAGTCGTCACTCCTCACAGAGGCTCTGGAATTCAGGCAAAGTGCTGTGAAGCAAATCTTTTGGTCCTGATTTCACCTCCTTCCCAGAGTTGTAAAAGTTGAAATGTTTGTGACAGGAATTCACCATATGAGTGTGTGAGTGTGTGAGAGGGTGAGGCTGTTGGGAATCCTACACCACCACCACCATCATGCACACTCTGGCTCACAGAAACAGAGTCTGGTTTCCACCACAGAGGCTCATTTAACAACAGAGTGTTTGACCTGCTGTGATTCTGATAAAGATTACTGTGCTTTTATGTTTCTTACTCGTGGAGAACGACTCACCACATAATTACACCGTGGTATGACAAAAATATAAACAGGATGCATGATGAAGACATTTCCAGCTAATGAAAGTTTTGTGGTACCAACGAACATCAGGAAGTATTTTACAGCACAGCAAACAGTCGTGACTCAGGCTGCCGTCAACAGATTACAGTCCAACTGGAGCAGCAGTGATTCAGTCACAAGTCAGTTTGGGGGAATTTACTGTTTGTTGGTGGTGAGTGAATTTTAACAAGACCACACAATGACAAAGGAGGAGGAGGAGGAGTAACCGTAATGACCTCTGACCTTTATATCATGCTCTAAGCTCCGAACCAACTCCCCGTCCACCTGTCCCGTCTGAGCCACCCGGATGCTGCGGCGCTCGGCCTTGCGGAGGCGGTACTGCAGGATGCGACAGGTCTTGTTGGCCTGCTCCAGCTGCAGCCGCAGCTCCTGCAGCTGATACACCTCCTCCTCCTGGAACATGTCACGCATCTCCAGCATCTCACAGCGTAGCTCCTCCACCTCATCCTGGGACAGACAACACAGAAATACAACTATCAGGGAATCTGCTTTTGATCATATACTCAAGTGTAAAGAATTCACGTTATAAACGTCCCTTTGCTGTGAATCATCCCCATTTTCTCTCCCACTTTCCTGTCCCTCTCCAGCTGAGCAACAGCACAGACAAAAGCCCCAAAAAATAGTCTTTAAAAAATACAACATCCATTTACAATTACAGTGGATATGATAACAACCTTCAATTATTTTAAGGCACTGAAAACAGCTTAAGTTTTAGATTTGAAATATTGGGTTTTCCAATATTCCATCCATTAACAAAAACTTAAAGGGGCACTCCAAACACACCACAAACAAGACAGAATAAACATGCTACACATGGTTCTTGACAGTTTATGGATGCTTGGTGATCTACAGAGCTTCACAGATTTGGCTCCATATCTTATCAAATCGTTTCTCTTTGCTGCCGTCTTCCAACATTGTTACTCATGACGTGTGACTTTACATTCAGCCTGTGGAAACATTTGTCTAAATGTTTTCTGTGGCTCTGGTTGGCCTGCTGGTTTCATTGGCCAGATGCTGCCTTTAAATGTAATTCATGAGCTCATTGTTACGACATGGGAAGCCGTGTATACGACATGCTTGGCATTCAAGTGGTTACATCGTGAGAGCACCGCTGCCAGGAAACAGCAACATGAACACTACAGTCAGCGTCTGCAGCCACAGAAGCTAACAGCTTAGCAAGCTAGCGAGCAGATCACGTAATGCACGAAATGCAAAGGCAGTGTCAGAGGAAAAAAGGATGAGGTTGTTGGGAAAATCAACATATTCCTCAGAAATATTGTAAAATTAAACCACTAAGATTATAATAAATTATCAACAAATGATTGGTAACCTCCGCCATTTCTGAAAATATCAGTAAACACATCACAACTTGTGAACTCTGTCCTTTCAAAACATTTCCACCTACAAGGTCACATGGAATCTTCTAATGAACATGGCAAATATGGCCGCATTAAAAGGCAGCATTTACCCTGATGATGTCACAGTGATGTCATCAGGGTAATCTCACTTTGGGCTTGAGATTTAAAGATTTTAACAAAAAACGTCTGTGTTACAAACTGGAGGTGTGACTTTGAAAGAAGTGGAAATTAAGGAGGCAAAGGGACCAAATGAAAGATGCTGTTATGTTGCATTATGGGAAATGTAGTATCTGGTGTTATTGGACTAAAAGTGTAGAATTCTCAGCTTCTACCACTTTGGTTTTGAACTTTCTTTAAGTCTCTCTCTTGAAAGTCTTCCAACTTTATGAAATTTCAATACATTGCTTGAGTGCCCCTTTAAATGCATTAAACAAATAAATTCAACCTTCCTACTGGAACTTTTGACTGGTTTAGTTTCCACTTTTGTTAAACTTAAACTTATTTTTTTACTGTAATAACATTGATACAAGGCATTAGTGATATGGTGAATACCAAGACTTTGGCTTACACATTTATGGAAGACACAACAGCCCCTAACTCACAGTGCATACACAAAATTATTGCTTAAATAAATGCCACCAGAGATAAATGTCAAAGTCACTGCTTTGAATTCTCGAGTAACTTCCTACTTTTGAATTGCACCAGTAAAATATCAGTGTTGATGTTTGTTTGTCTTGTTGTTTTTTATGTTTGCTTTGCAGTTTATTTTTTCCAGCACAACATGGAAAATGCTTCTGATGGTGCCACAGATCATTTGTGTCTCTTGCATGAGATTTTCCGACCACTTGTCCTGAAGTCTTTAATGAAGACTGACAAGAACATTGAGAGGAAATCGGCTCTGGTGTTCAGAGTCTGAGGATCTATTATAGAGCTCACAAAGAAGCAACATACAAACGTGGAAATTTAGATGCGAACCTCCTGGATGTCATGCAAATACAAACCGAATTAAACAAATCAGATTAAAGCCAAATTAAATTAAACTTACTTTCAGATACTCGTTCTCTGATCTCAGATCCTCCACCTCCCTGACCAGATCATCGGTTGTCTCCCCCATCATGAGATCCATAAACGCCTCTGAGGAGTTAAACAAACTGAGCCCGGCTCCAGCAGCATCAGGCTGCAGAGCGCAGGTATCCCTCGGCACCTTTACGCACGGTTTGCCGTCGCCTTTGCCCTCACTGTCCGAGCTCAAATAAGCTCCTGGCTCTATCCAGCTTAAATCACTGTCGCTGCTCGGAGAGTCCTGCTTACTGTTGCCCTCCGAGGGGCAGTCGGAGATTTCTGAGCTGCTGTCTGAGGAGGAGAGTTTCCCAGACGGGCAGCCGGAGTCTTTGCTCAGGTCCTCTGAAGCGTTGCTGGCATCGGATAACTTCCTCTGCGCACCGGGGCACTCCACCGTGACACTCAGTGACACTTTGCCCGATCGTTTCCCCTGCTGTCCCGCCGGTTTCACCTCCTTCCCAGAGTCACAGGGACCTGACAGAGAGCCACATTGAGCATCTTTAGGAGCCGGGTCCTTCTTCTTCTTCTGGGCAGAAACCTGCTGTTTCTGGCTCCGGAGCGCAGACTTTGCGCTCTTGTCTCCGTCTCTGTTCATCGCGACTCTTTTTCTTTAGGTTTTCTTCTTCTTTAATGTGGGGAAAATAGGAGATTTTTCTCAGTTCTAGATGATCATGATGTTTCCACAAATATGCTGAGAAGTCTTAAGCCCTCACAGCTCAGTGAAGAGGACCGACTGGTTGCTCTCCATCCTGGAAACTGAAACTTTGCCAAAATGCGCGCAGAGAAAGAGGGCAAAAAGTGACCGGCAGTGTCACACTAACACAGCCTATTGATGACTTCCGGTCTTCATTTCCAAAATAAAACCGACTCATTAACCCTTAACGAAGATATAATGCATTTTATTTTTCCTTTTAATAAAGAAAAATATGTTTTACACGTGTTTCCATCTTTTCCAAACAGTTTTTATTCTGATTAAAACAATTTATCAAAAACATGTCAAACATAACTCACTGAAAAGTTTGTAATCATCTGCTGTATTAATGTTTTTCTTCTTTTCTCCAGTAATGGCTATTTTTAAATAATAGAAACACTATAATTCAGACACTACATATATTAATTACTGTTGAATTTGTCCCCAAAAGAAGAAGAATTAACTGATTAAAACTTCATGTACTTGATGTCCTCAGTGTTTCATGACAGGGGAGAAAACTGTTGGAACTTTGATTCATTCATTGATGAGCTTTATGATTATTAGTTGTAAATACTGATCGATTTTGTTTGGAATTATTTTCTAGAGTAAAACCAGTTTGACAATTACTATATATATTATTGAAGAGGAATTTAGAATTGTTAAAAACAAAGCATTCATATTGGAAAAAAATGCAATAAATACATCTAATAAATATTTGGCACAGCATGAGATTGATTATATTAACAATAGTATTCACAATGGAAATATGATGTTTTGATTTCATCATTGATAATTTGATTGAAATTAAATGGGTTGAATTAATTGACATGATTTATGTTTATGTCTTTGAGGTCATCAAACTAATAGCAAACTGATCATCATGTCAGTAAATGAAGGAAATAAGTGGAGTTGTCTGGCGTCCTCTGTTGTTGCCTGTGGTTGACTTCATGCAGGCATTGAGGCTGAAACCCAACAGAAACTCAACCTGTATTTTATTTTTTCAGTTCAGAAAATTGTCCCTCGATCATCACTGAACCACACTGGTGCAACTGGGCTCCAAATATTGAGTTTGTCTGTAAATGTTGGGCCCACTGCAGTCTACTCAGTAGTTACATTGAGCAGGTTTAAAGTGTGATTTGTCAGTCCACAGTGTGTTCATCTGATATTCCAACAGTACCAGCCATGGACCAACCCTCTGTTTCTATTGTGAAGTTTGAAGAATACCTTTACTGTAAATTCCAGCTCATTACAGACATTATTGTGCACTTGACAATGAAACAGGAACCTGTTCCCATTTAAACCTACACACATTTTGATGCTAAGCTCCCAGTTTCTTTTACCAATGATGGGTGATTTCCTAGGTTCTTATTCAGCTGTTGTTCAGGGGGATGTTTGACACTTTTTCAACTGTCAGTCTGGTTGAACCATTGCACCGTGTTTTGTTCTCCATGTACAAAACAAACTGTTCATACAAAACAACACTGAGTTATTAAGAAGACCTTCTACAACCTAAAAGCAAGAAAGGGCATTTGAAAAGACAAAGTAGTCCTCTCAGCCACCTGAGTGTTTCCAATCAAGCTTTAGTGGCAGAGGATTTCCTGCTTTTAAATGGCAGTGCATCTTAAATAACAAGTAATGCTAAAATAGTAATAATTGAGTCGATTAAAGGCAATAGGAGAACGTTTTATTTATTTTCTCATATTTTATATCTATAACGAGGCTATATATTTACATGTGATAAAATATAATGAAAACCTAACTGGTTTGTATTTGTTTTATTATATATATATTTATTGTATTTATAAATTATTTTATTTTTGTTATTTTTTACAGTCTATGGGGAGAACAGACAATTTAAGCTTTTATTTTGAAAATTAGTACTTCCGGTCTTACTGAGACAAATGCTCCATGTTGTTGCCCTCAGTTTCCACTTTCTTCTTTGAAAATCTGACGAGCGATTGAACAGTCAGACTTGCCTCTGAGTATTCCATTTAATTATTTATCTACACAGTCAGCAGGTTGATCACATATTTATTTGACAAATATCAAAGATGCTCTGAACTGACTGCTAATTTTAAAATAGTAAAAAAAAAAACTTACTGCACGTCAAAATTTAATTTAGTTTAAAATAAATCCCTTAATTCTAAATTAATTATAGGGTTAACTGATCATAGGTGAAAAGCTGCCACCCTGTGGATCAATGACGGAGCTTCAGCTCACTTATCAGTCATCACACAGCTCTCTTCACACCGTGAATGCATCACAGGTTACATCACATTTGTTAAATGGCTTCATGTTGTCTCAATAAGAGACTGATTATAAATGTTAAACTCGATGAAGTTAAGCAATAAATATGATCTCAGATTCATTCAAACATTTTTACGTAAGTCTAACCGCTCTGTCTCGTCATCACTGTTGTCTTAACATCCTGTCTGCTCATTGGACACCAGAGAAGGTGTGTCGAGAAACACAGGAACCTGTTATTGCTCAACGTGTCCTTCAACGAGACCACAGACCAAAGACATCCATCATAGAAAAACAGTGAAGAGAGAAAACCTGACATGAGAAATGTGGAGTGGGGGTGGGAGGTAATGTTGGTGAAAAATCTGCTTTAGTGCATCAGAATTGACTGCAGAGCATCTGGATCAAAAATGTATTTACCAACAATTTACTAACACATAACATAACTGCAGATGTCATAGCTTATTGTTAATACATTTTATTAAGGTCTTTACACGTGCAGATTTATTGGTAAAGTTAGAAACCCATGAGTAATCTTTGATTGATTGTCATCATGTACTGCATCATTTGTATGCCTCATTAGAAAGTCAGTAGCAAATATATATTTCAGACAGCTGATGTGAAACTGAATTCCTTATATATGTATATATATATATATATATATATATATATATATATACCTTAAAATGCCTTTACTGTTCCCATTCATGATTATATTATTAAGGCATTTGTAATGGGAGTTTTATAAATGAATGGCCTTACAGTGTTACAGTATTTTTGATGCATTATGTTATTGTGTTAATTAAGAGTGGGGAAAAACGAATTTTAATTAAGAGGAAAATTAAGGGATGGTTTTCATGTTATGAGCTGGTCAGTTTTAATTGATTTTTTTTATCTGTAATAAAATTTTAAAAAGCTTTAAGTGTGCTACAGTCAGTTTAAGGTGCAGTATTTTAATGAGATAATTTTAAGGAAGTGACTAACCCATAATATCCACTGAAAAGAAAAACGAACTATGTAATAATATTCTCCCCTTGCAGAATTGTTGCCAGTTTTTAAATGAAATCTCAAAACTGGTCCTGTATTATCTTGTTTATTATGTATATTATTTTTTGTATTTTAGAATAGTTCGGGATTTTATTTCTGTTTAATTTTGTATTATTTTATAGTGTCTGATTTTATTCCTGGAATGTTTTAATCCAGGTTGAACCATGTAAAGCTCTTTGTAACTTTGCCTTTAAACAGTGATGTATAAATAAATGTTATAATTAATAATTTAATAAATAAATTAAGCAGTAATTTGAACGCGTGGACGTTTTAATGTCAGATAATTGACTCTGATGTGAAAACAGCTGCTGGACTGAACAGCCGCTCTTTGACTTCTATTTCTAGAACTCTCCTGGCTGCGCTCTGATTGGCTGTCGCACCTGTCAGTCACGGTGTCCTTGCCGTCCACTTCCGCCCTGTTTGAGAGGCAGATCACTCTCCGCTTGTTTATGTCAGCTGAGCTTTAATTTGATTTTAACTCACAGGTATATGTAATTGTATTGTGTTTAAACCTTCGTGTCAGTGTCTACGTGGTTATCGTTAGCTTCTCTCCGCTGGCCACCCTCCATTTAACGGTTTAACTTATCAGCAACGATGCTAACGGCTAGCTAGCTAGTCAGATAGCTAACTCCTAGCTGAGGCTCTTTGGGGAGCAGAGCTACTGACAGCGAGCTAGCAAGTTGTTATTATTAGTCATAGCATGTATTAGATCATGTTTGGCTGCCGTGTGCTTTGTGTAACGCGTCCGTGCTGTTGCAGGTAGTGTGTGTGGCTGTCTGTGATGCTTGGAGCGAGGCTGGGCTGCAGGGACAGGCCGATGGTGGAAACATGACTTCTGAGTAACGCACAGTTACTTTCTCTGCTCAGTATGAACAGCGAGGAAGAGTTTTACGACGCTGAGACAGGTGAGACACGCTGACAGATGTCTCATATAGTTAAGTGTGCTTGCTTTCTGTGTCTAAATGAATCCTCTTCTCTTGCCTCCATCAGGGCTGGAGTCAGATGATTCCTGTGAGGTCAGTTTCAAAGATGCCCTGGTGTTTGACTGTAAGCAGGTGACTGACGGCAGCGCCACACAGGAGAATGGAGTGTGGGAGCGAAGGTGAGGGGTCATGTACAAGAAGTGTGTTTGCATGTTACCACATGACTACGTTTGTCTTTGGGTGAGGGGCTGGAGGGGCTCATTATGCATGCACACACACGTGGAAGCACACAAGGCCAGTGCGACCACATTTTTATGCTGTTAGCTAGTGAATACCTCCATTGCAGAGCATTTAGAGTAACTGCTGGTGAAGCTAGTCAAGTCTTATGTTTCAGCTTGAGAGACATCTGGATTTTAAAGCAGTACATTGTGTTCTTGAATGATACACTGCCTGCAGTTAACAGATACACTGTGAAAAGTTTTATTGGATTTAACGTCATTTTAATCACATTCCGTCGTAATGTGTACCAGGAAAAGCCTGCCTGCTGAAATGATCTCCAGAAGCAACTTCAGTGTGTGGAGCATACTGAAGAAATGCATCGGCATGGTGAGTCCTACCTTCCTCCAATTGAATCTGAATTTCTGTCGTCAATTTTGCCACAAACAGGCTGTTGTCAGATTCAGGGCCTAGTGTGACATGTTTTTTTAAAATAATTAAATACTGCCATGTTTCAGCTTTCATCACGCCGCTACAAGATTAGTCATGTCTGAACTCTCTTCTCTGCCCGACATTTTATGTAATCATCTGAAAGAACCAAAATAGCTCAAATGAACATCTGAATACATTGAACATGAAACACATGTCCTACTGTTAAAAGGCAGAATATATTTATTGCATATAAGTTAAATAATATGATGCATGAGTTGTTGTAAAACTTATTTATCTAGTATTATCTTTTTTGATCTTTTCATGTGGTTATTACAGGAGCTGTCTAAAATAGCGATGCCGGTCGTGTTTAACGAGCCGCTGAGCTTCCTCCAGAGAATGTCGGAGTACATGGAGCACACTCACCTCATCCACAAAGCCTGCAGTTTGTCTGACTCAATAGATCGCATGCAGGTACAGATAATGGATGACTCTGAGGTTATGTTGTTTTTATTTTTAGCTTAACTTTATTTCTCTTTTAATTTCTTTTCTGTCTGCATTGTTCAAAACACACCTGGACAGATAAATGTAACAGATCTTACTCTGATTTAAAGCTGCAGCTAACAATTATTTTCTGATCGACTAATCTTTTAAACTGTCAGATTAAATGTCCTATTAACCATCTTCGAATACTGTGTTTTGTCTGGCCAACAGTCCAAAACTCAAAGACATTCAATTTTACTGCCTTGTTTGATTCAATCGAACTCAAGTTCGTTTGCCCCCTAGGTGTGGTTCATTTGGGCAGGTGTGAACACAGCAATCACACTTAGGTGTTCACCAAAACAACCTGACTGAGACCTTCTTGAAGAGGTGGTCTCAGTCTGGTTACAAATGAACTCTGGTGCGGTTTTTTTGTGGTGAGAACGTGTTCCGACCTGGATCTGAACTAACTGCAGTCACATGACGCATTGTTTGGGTTAAACATGAGCATGTTACAGTCCTGGAGGATTATTAATGTGCACCTCCTCCTGTACTGCTTTAATATGCACATTCAGCACATCCAATGCATCAAAACATTGTTTTCTAGTTGGAGCCGCGCCTCGTTTTCAAACTGTATGGTTTGATTAAAATGAACAATGACAGCAATATAGTCCACGATGAGCAGCGCTGAAATCAACCTGCGTAGTTGTCCCTCCATTGTGACATTAGAAAGTGTCACATTTATCTTGTAAGTGTACTCTTCTTCAACGTTTGCTTTACTTCCTGGATTTTTCCCACATATAAATTCTGACCAATCAAGAGCAGCTTTCTCACACAAGGCATTTGATCTGGTCCACTTGTAAATGCTGCCGTGAGAACACGAACCAACTCTAGGCAACTGTACAACTTTGTGACAAAATTAGACCTTGATTCGGACCAAAGCAAGACAACTCTAGGTCTGAAAGCACCCAAAGAAAATCTGATAATCATCACATTTGAGAAGCTCTGCTCTGATTCACTTCATGTCTCTGTGACAGGTTGTTGCTGCATTTGCTGTTTCGTCCGTAGCGTCTCAATGGGAACGGACTGGAAAGCCATTTAATCCTTTACTAGGAGAGACATATGAACTCATAAGGTACTGGAGAGTAGAACAGTTTTGTCTTGATGAGACAGACACAAATAAACCAAAATGTTTTTCGTTCATTAATGTGAGTTCTCAAATGTTTTTTCAAAGAGAGGACGAGGGATACAGATTGATCTCGGAGCAGGTGAGCCACCACCCTCCCGTCAGTGCCTTCCATGCCCAGTCTCTAAAGCAAGAATTCGAGTTTCACGGCTCCATCTACCCAAAACTCAAGTTCTGGGGCAAAAGTGTGGAGGCTGAGCCGAAAGGCACCATGACACTTGAGTTACTGAAGTGAGTATTTTTCAGGTAATTTTTTGGTATTTAATTAGCTTTGTTGTGGTTGTGCTTCTTAGCTGGGTTTGTTTGTTTCGATTATTTGTTAGTGAGTGGCTTTTCTTAAAAGCTCTAAGTTTGTTGCTCACTCTGATGTTAACACTGTAGTTGTCGATAAACTTTGTGAAAATATGAAACTTTATTGCACCTTTTACACTGGCTCTTCAAGGTGTGAATTTCACACCATTATGCCATCTGGCCGATCTGTATAAATGGTGCAACTGCAGAACAGGACAGCTGGTCGGATTAACAGGACGTTTTGACGACGTATTATGCATGTGACCCACCGCGGGAAATTTAAAAAGTATCTGTTAGCAGTTAGCGGCTAACTCGAAGAAGAACAGCAGTTGAAAATGTCCACAAATCGGGACAACAATGCGGTCTGCGAGCTCCTTACCCTTGCAGCAGATGACGAAATTGGCTGCCATATAACAGAAACCACCAATTGTGTAATTTTTTTTACATTAAAGTTTTTGTGTGGATTAAACAAATGAGTTATAATGTCCTAATACCTTTGGACAGAGCCACGCTAGCAGTTTCCCCGTTTCCTGTCTTCATGCTAAGCTAAGCTAAGCTAACCAGCTGCTATGTATGTACACTGGTGGCGCTGTATTGATAGTACTAGGGTACTAGGGTTTAAAAGTCGGAACAACATTTTTGCCGTCAGGTGTTTTACTCTGGAAGAGCAAAACATTTTTGACCACTGTGGTGGTCGGGACAGTGTGCAATATGCTGTGTGTTCGGTTTGAATGAAAGATAAATAAATGGACATTTGTTCAGCCTGTGTTTTGTGGTATAAATAAATATGATGATTATTCTGCAACTGGAACCTGCAGTTCATTGTCTGAACTCAACATAACCAAGGAAACTGTGGCATCAACTGTGCAAAGCACGTCTGGCTGGGTGTAACGTCCATGTAGCTGCAAGTAATAGGCTTAGCTCCTATAAGCGTCATATTTAACAGACCAACATCAGAGTGGCATCCGTCTTCTATTCTAACTTTTGGCAAGAAAATAAAGCATATGTGTATTTCCCAAAATGTTGAACTGTTCCTTTAAGATTCTGTGAATTTCTTCCAGACATAAAGAAGCGTACACGTGGACAAACCCAATGTGTTGTGTGCACAACATCATCCTTGGAAAACTCTGGATTGAGCAATATGGAACCGTGGAGATAGTCAACCACAGGTAGGGTGTCAGATACTTAACTTCAAGACTTAAACTCGCTGGAACATTGATCATTGATTGACTTTTTTTGTTTCATTCATCAGCACGGGAGATAAGTGTGTGTTGAACTTTAGACCGTGCGGCATGTTTGGGAAAGAGCTGCACAAAGTCGAAGGTTATATCCAAGACAAAAGGTTAGAGCACAACAACACTGTTAACAGCCAGCGGTTGTGATTAATTGTCAGAGAACTGATTGGATTCTCTTTGTTGTTGAACCAGTAAGAAGAAGCGGCGAGTGATCTATGGGAAGTGGACGGAGTGCATGTACAGCGTGGACCCCAAGGTTTACGAAGCATACAAGAAGTCAGAGAAGAAGATGGGGGGAGAATCAAAAAAGCTGAAACAGGTAAGCGGCGCTCAGATTTACAGTCGACTCTGCTTCGACTGACATCTGAGATGAAATGCTGCTCAGAGTTTGATCACCGGTTTGTCTTTGACATGTTTTATCTGTCTTACAACGTGAAGTAATCTGTGACTCATCACTGAATTCTTTTCTCAAATGGTATCTTTTCCTTTCACAATAACATGCAGTGGCATTAGTAGAAGGTAAGGTAAAAGTGTATTTGATATCTGTAGTGTGCTACTGCTGTTGTCTAGTTCAAGTTATGTTCAAAGTGTATGATTAGATCATTGCCAGCACTAATCCATAATGTCTTGCAATGACATGCATTGTTGCTTGAGAGACGTGTTGAATCTGTGGCAACCGTAGTTCTGTGGATCACTTGTTTGCACATGAACTGTACATACTGTGAGCTTCAGCTCGTTAGTCCAGGTATAAATTATGTTTTTTATCTGTGTGTGTGTGTGTGTGTGTGTGTGTGTAGGAACATGATTGTGAAGGTGAGGAAGCAGATGATATGCCAGAAGTTCAAGAGACTGTGACTGTGATACCAGGAAGTGCCTTACTGTGGAGGATAACGCCGCGGCCTGCTCACTCAGCACAGGTCCATATCTCTCTCACAGACACACACACACACACACACACACACACAAGGTATGAAAGAAAAAACAGAGACTATATTCTAATTAAGTTTATTAATTAAGATAACGTTATTTTGGAGCCTTAGGCCCTGATCACACAAAGTGTTTTGCAGGTCGCAAAATGGCTTTTCTTTAAATTGAATGCAACTAGTGAAAAAAATGCTTGTTGCGCCTTTTTACTGTTGTCAGGCAACCACACACTCATCTCCTTATTCTGACCTTCCCGTGTAATCAATCTACCGTTCATTTATTTATTTTATTTTATTTATTGTCACAGTAATTAGTATCTAGTTCCTAAAATGCTCAGGCAGAGGGTACTTGCTGTAGCTCTGGCTGAGGGTGAGAGGCTGTCAGCAAATAGTTTGTTGGGCACAGGGAAACGGAGATCTGTGTGGGTACATGAGACCCTAAAAAAGAGGGTGGATTATGGGAAGTACCACCAGTTGGTCCAGGAGCTTTGTCTCTTGATGGCCATTTCCAGGCATATTTTAGGATGACTCAGGCACTTTGACAACCAGCTGTCTATCGTCGGGTCGTGCAGCTCTGGGTATCCAGCAACCGCAACCACCAGTTTCTCCTCCATTGTTTACCAACTGTAAACTTGTTGTCCTGACCACCACAGAAGGCCCGATAACGTTAAAAAAGAGATGACGAAAAGAGATGATGTGGAGTGTTTTTCCACTCTCAGTTGAAGTTTTTTCAACTCAAGGAGTTCGGAGCACTCTGGCAAAAACGCCAGGCTCCTAAAGTGCAGAAACACAAGGCGCAACTTAAAAACTGCGAGCCAAAAACTTCATTCTTATTAAAAATAATTACAAGAAGGCGCCCCCAGCTGCTAAAATGCTCTCTGTTTGATAAGGGCCTTACTGGGCAGAGCCTCTTTTCCTCCAGGCAGCTTCCATCGTGTACGCAGCTGTATGTACCAAAGAGCAGCGAGAAAGTGAGAAGCACTCACTCTGCAGCTAAATCTGGGGACCGCAATGTCCCTAGAAGTATACTGCACACTGACTCGACTTGAAGCAATCTCAGTCTGATGATTCAAATCTCTGACTTTCAACCCTTATGTTGAGTGCAGTTACTTCCTCATAAAACACTTGTCAAGCTTAAGATTTATTACTTAATATTGTTAATTCCTGGATTGTTGATGTCAGTGTTTGTTAGCTTGCAGTCTACTTCTTCACTACCTTTGATTAGACATTAGGGCTGAGGCGATAAGGCAACATTGCATTACAGCACTATAGACAAGTCAACCACAGGGGACAGCAAGCCACCACTGTAACCGCTATGTTCATGTTTTTTTTCTGTTTTTTGTGGGAGCACCATGTATTTAAAGCATGACAAGGTGTTGATCTTATATTCTGTGCTGAGCGCTGCATGTTTGAGGTGTTTTTTTCTGGTCAGTGAGTTGAAAAATATTCAACTTTTGGATAAAATGCTGCAGCTACTCGTCACTGTCACTTTCTACCCTTTCAAAAGTAGCAAAATACATTGAGATTTGTTGAATTAGCTGATTTATCTGCCTGCCAAATCACTTTATGAACACAGACTTTGATCCTTCTGTGTAGATGTATAACTTCACCAGCTTTGCCATGACACTAAACGAACTGGAGCCTGGCATGGAGAGACTACTGGCGCCAACAGACTGCCGGCTGAGGCCCGACATCAGAGCCATGGAGAATGGAGACATAGGTAACACCTACCTCACATTAACTGTTCCTTCCACACACACAACCCTTGTATGGTTCTGTAATGGCTTCTTCATTCATGTTTCTGTCTTTCTTACAGACTTAGCGAGTTTGGAGAAAGAGCGGTTAGAGGAGAAACAAAGAGCTTCACGTAGGGAACGCTCCAAGGATGAGGAGGAGTGGGCAACCAGGTGTGTGTTTGACACAGAATTCAAAGTTCAAGTTCAAGGTCTTGTAGATAAAGCCCCCTCTCAGACATGCACCATGTTGCATAAATGTCATGACAGTTTAACATGACAGAAAAACACGGGAGTCACTTTTACATAAGTCATGACGGTGATATTTCCATCACTAGTCTGGATGGGATGTAGTCAGATTAGTTTAAAGGCCGCAGCACGACAACGTTAAATACACAGAGAAATGAAATACAATGAGTTTAGTAAATCACAAAATAATCTGTAAGTGAGCCAAATTTAAGTTGGTGAGGCGATTCTTCACGTCAGATCAGTGTATAATAAATATAAATATAATAAATAAAATCTCACTGTGAAGCCAAACACTGTTCATCTGCACACACTGATGACACACAGCTGTTTCCCAGCTGATTGCAGAAGAAGCTTTTCAGTTCAGAACTTAAACATGTTTAAAAACTGTCCATCTCTCACATTATGTCATATTTCTTTTTACCGTGTCATTACAAACAAGTCCTATGTGTTATTATGTCTCTCCAGGTGGTTTCAGCTGGGAACAAACCCTCATACAGGAGCCGAGGACTGGCTGTACACAGGTGGATACTTTGACAGGAATTACACTGACTGTCCCAACATTTATTGACACAGGAGGAGGTGCTCGGTGTGGAGATCTCCCTCCTCTCTGATAGGGTTCACTTTATTTCTCAGCATCTAAGATTTGTGTCTCTTGTGACGTCCAGACGCTCACTGGTACTGTGTGTCTGTTTGAATCCATGAAGAGCTGATATCTGAATGTTATCAGACAGTTTATCAGATTATTGCCGACTGTGAACTTTGTCCACAGGAGAAAATATTATAGAAAGGAGAATTTTAGAGTTTACTTAATGTAAATGTCAGACATCTTCATCTTTATAATATGCCCTAATCATGACAGTAATAGTCCACGTGTATGTTACTCACCTGTCGAGGGTTTTAAACAAGTCATCTGTGTGCATGAGTGCGTGAGTGTGTGTGTGTGTGTGTGTGTGTGTGTGTGTGTGTGTGTGTGTGTGTGTGTGTGTGTGTGTGTGTGTGCGCGCGCGCGCGTGTATGTGGTGACCATGCTGCTGCTGCAGAACATAAAGCTCTGACTTCTAGAGACTGTATTCTCAGTTTTAGTTCAGGTACTCAACCATAATCTCACCTGTAGTCGTCCCACACACTTCTTGTCCACTTGCATTCAAATATCAGGGGTTATTTAAACACATCTGCTACTTTTTATATGCATTAAAAACCTATCATTTGAATATTAGATGTGTATTTTAGTTAGTTGTAAACATCCCTAAAATGTCACGTGTGTTACGTTTTCTGTGAATAGAGACTTACAGTAGAGATGAAAGCTGCTTCTAACAATGTTTACCGTCACAGTAAACATATTGTTGGTACATTATAATGTTGTCCGCTGTAACATAGATGATGTTTATAATAATTGGTGCATGCATGATCACCAAGGCGGATTATTTACACAAGTTAAAGCCATAAAAAAACTTTTTCTGCACTAATAATAAAACTGTAAATGGATTCACATGAAACGTTGAAGCAGAAGGATACAGTGGTTCAAAGCAGGGGGTTTTCAGTCTGACATGTCCATGGTATATTCTGAGCCATAAAGTCAAAACAACATAAATGAAAAGTTCATATTGACAGATTTTGTAACTCCTGTTGTTATTGTTTATTGTACTAAAGACGAACTAACTTTGCAAATTGTCATCATTTAAATGTCCAGTGTGTAGGATTTAGTGGCATCTAGTGGTGAAGTTGCAGATTGCAACTGACTGATACTTCCCGTTTGCGAAGTGATCTATGTTGGCCGACACAAATGGCTCGACAGTATCAAGAGCCAGTGTTTGGTTTGTTCTGGGCTACTGTAGAAACAACATGGCGGACTCTGTGGAAGACAGCCCGCTTTATATATAGATACAAATGGCTCAATCTGAGGGAACCAAAACATGATTCCTAAGGGCCGTACACATGTCGCATTTTTTGCACCCTCAAACTTAATGTTCTCAATGTAGACACACGGCAGGCACGCTCAAACAACAGAGTGACGCCATCGCAGCGTGCATTCATTCCCAGGAGCCTACTTTTGAGGGCTGCGCCCCAAGATAAACAGAATTCAACTTTTGAAACACAGGAGCGCGCACCGCATGTCATGTGATGAGGAGCAACCAATCACAGCCAACAGATATCTTTCCCGTCTTCCATAAATATTCAATATCTGGTAAATGTGGAAAACTTGATCATGTTAGTGCAGGGCTACCCAGAGCTTTACATCTGTCCCACAGACAATAGGCCTACACACTTATAAATAGCGCCTGTAGGAAGATCATCCCTGCACTCAGGATTTTGGGTAAATAGGCTATGATACGGTGCTTCTTAAGGTTGCTTAGCAACCTCAGAGGCAAGCTGCCACCGCGCGCTTGACAACTGGCGCAAAAAAACAAAAGTAGTGCCCAGTTCTTGACCATGCGTTTTCCAGGCAGTTAGAGGCGGCGTGTGTACGGCCCCTTATGCCGTGTCTCAATTCAGATACTTCTTGTAGTACACTTCCACATAGTACGCACTGTGTATACTCTGTACTTACTTGCGCAATACATGAATTTCGTGTCTCAAATCAAACACAGCTACTGTGCTCTTATCAGGAGTAACAGTTGATTAATGAATGATCTTCTTTTAAATGGCAAATTGCAACCAGATGGAGCATTACCGCCAGTGTTTGACTGCAAATGTCGCCCGCCGAAATGTGTACATGCTTGTTTGCTTGTTAACCGCAGCAACCACAACCGATGCAGCTTTTTCAGCCACCATTTTCACAAGTTTGGTGGTCCCTCCCTTTCAGCTACATGGCAAAAATGGCGACCATTAAGGGTGAGAAGTGTGCAGCGTTCCGAACTCAACATCTGACTGTTATGGGTACTCATAGTGTACTGCACTTTACCATACTTGTCAGTGTGAATGCACTTAAGCATTTAAAATAGCAAGTATAGGTATGGAAGAATGCAAGTCAAGACACAGCACCAGTTTCAGGTGATTATAGACTAATAAAAACGTAGGTATAAATATTTTATTCCAATATATCCCTCTAAATCCTTCACACTGGACCTTTAAAAGTTTGTTGAATTAGCTGTTAGCAGTTCTTGTTTGCAGTGCACCCATAAAATGTACAGACAACAAACACTGAATGACTTTGATAGTAAAGAAACAGCGAGATGATCCTCAGTCAAGTTCTGGATTTGTGAGATGTTGATTTAATGATATCCACAGGATGTATAAGTCAGACTCAATCTAAAAATATGTGTCATATATTTTTGACTGAGTTATGACTCCAAGAAGGAGTAGGAATTTTAAGGCTCTCCCTCCGTGGCCTCCTGCCAAGGTGCTGTGTCATACCGACTCCTGATTATAGCCGTCTTCACATATGGACACGTAACTCTGACTGTTTGCGGAGTTTCCAGTTCAATCCCCACAGACATTTCTCCATCAATGAAAGCTGTTTTCGGACACAGCAGCAGCAGCAGCAGAAATAGACAGGACTCTGTAGCCATCATGAACCTATGCAAACTGATCCCTCCAGTCTGCCCTCCTGAAATGTGAAGAATAGAAATAAAACACTTAACTCCTCTTCAGCTTGTAGCCGACGTGTGCTTCAGACACTACAGAGGCAGCAGATAATGAATGTTGTGTGCTGATGATATAAAGCTGACATACATTCAGCACATGTTAGAGACTGTGTAGATGTTTCTTTGTGTTTCTGAGCACTAACCTTGCATAAACTGCACATTTGATTGCTCACAGTCCAACGCACATATTGTACAGTGAGAGTATATCTTTGATCACGTCTCCCCTTGGCTGCCCTCAACTTCACTCTGAATTCAAAGCACTTTGTGACGCCTACAGACTCTCAAAGCTGCAGGTTCGCTCTGATGGTCCCTCTGATCTCACACTCTTTACCCTCTTGTTTCGTCTAGCATCTGTTTGAAAATGTTTACATTGTATGTTCATTAAGCTCTTGTTTTGTTTTCTCCTCATACTGTTATCCACATACAAACATATGCTTACAAGGCATATTTGAGAAATAAATTATGGACTATTGAAATTACCAGCCCTGTCGTCATTTGAGCAATTACTTTAACACTGTGTGTGTGTGTGTGTGTACACCAGTGGTTCCCAGCTTTGAGGTTACAAGATGATTTATGGGATATATATATATATATAAAAAAAAGACATTTTTCTGCTGCATATCTCGTATTTTTTTCTGCTTTTTTTCTAATCTTTGCTTTTTCTTTTGAAGAACTGAAATCCTTTCTCCTCATAGGTCCTCATAAAATATTCAAAAGAAACAATCTGAGAAGGGAAAACTACGTATTACTCATTGACACAATGCAAGGTGTGACAAGAGGTCACCAGTAAACAATGATTCATTACAAGGGGACCAAATCCTCATTTTAGGAGCTGTGTTTAATATATAACACGTGATCAAAATGATCTAAAACTCAATTTTGAGATGATTCTGTAAAAAGCTTTCTAATAAATAATAATATAGCAACTTCTGATCAACCTATATCAATTTCAGGTTTTCAGAACAACTTCCAGTTAGGCCCCCCCACACATTTTTGATACAAACTCCACCCACATCAGGTTTTAACCCTGCATATTCCGAGTACAGATACAGATAATTTAATAGGTTGAACAGATACAGAAACAAATGACGGTATAATTGCTCATCCCTAATGTTAGCATTGTCTTTTAGCATAGCATGCACACTTTAGTAGTTTAGTTTTGTCCCTTTCTTTTTTGTATTAATGCTAGTGTAAATGTTGGTAATCCTAAAAATGCTTCATGTTGTTAACAGTGAGAGAAGACAAACTCAGATCATGTACTTTAGTAGTCTAGAAGTGCCAAAGTATTAGCATCAAAATAAAATTAAATTACCAAAATTAAAAGTACTTATTATGCAGACTGGCATATTTCAGAATTAGACATATTGAGTCTATTAGCAAGTGTTACATAGAAATTGTGGAGCTGAGCAAGAGCAGTGTGCAAAATTTTCTGTTCAAGGACTCTGTGTCTGAGAAATAATAATAAAACCTCTCAGAGACAGTTGGATGTGCGAATATCTCTCTTCAAAAGAATTAGACATATTACATATTTGGATTATAATTATTGGTAGATTAATGTGTCCAACACTTAAACATTGCATCTTGTGAAGTTGGTGCTAATTTTAATTACTGTATATATATACTGCTGGGTAGCTGAAACTATAATAACACATTTTATTTGTAATTTTTATTTTCTATTTAAACTAAATTTAGCATAAATGTAATGGAGTAAAAAAAATGCTGTATTTCCATCTGAACTGTCATGGAGTAGAACTTTAAAGTAACATAAAATGGAAATACTCAAGTACAAGTACCTGAAAATGATAGCTAAGTACAGTATTTGAGTAAAAATACTCAGTTACTTTCCACCACTGGGCGTTAGTAACATCTGCAGCCCATCAAACCCAGTCAAATGGATTTATCACAATCTAGTCAAAGCTCAGAGGTTAATCTCATTAATGATTTATAACAGACTTGATTTATTAATGATTAATAAAGCCATCGGTAACAACATATAAATACTTTATGACGGATGTCTTATTAGAAATTTGATCCAAACAATCTCAGTTTGATTTATTTCTGTATAAAAAGCTTCAGCACAGTAAACAGGCTGTGCTGTGTCATCTCTACCGAACATGCGCATGGACGTTTAAAGCCCTCCTTACTGACACACGGTTCAACCAATCACAGCGACGCACCGGCACCAGCGAGCCAATCAGAATCCCCCCTCAGTGTTTTTGTCTGCTCTCCGGCTGAACGGTATTTCAGTGAGAACATGTAAGTATAAACATCTTTTATTAGGTATATTTGTGACTCAGTAACACAGTAAACAGACGTGTGTTTAATTTATGTGTGTGAAATGTGAAAGTGCAGCTCAGTCGTGAAGACGTCGAGCCGACAACAGGCGGCGTGCTACAGGATGCAGAGTCATCTGTGGCTACTCCAGTAGCTGGGTTATAATGGGAGCACTGGGATGAGCTTTGTTCCAGTATTATGTTATGTTTCAGATCTGCTTCTTTATCATGTTGTCTGCTTAATGTGTTATTTTAGTGTCACTCTATGAGAGTGTTATCATCTGCTGAAAGGAAATAATTAAATTAGCTTCACAGTAAATGGGCTAGTAGGTTAGAGACACGTCCAGAATGGATGTGGAAGCAAGAATGACCATTTAATCTACATTTATATTAATCTACAGCTTAATTATATGTTCATTAGCAGAGTGGAGTGACACAGCAGGAAAAAGATGACCTCTTAGTCTAAGTCTTAGTCATTTTTCATATTTTTATTGTACAGTTTTTTTATTCTTCTATTTATTTATGTTTCTTGATTTTACAATATCTGATTTTTATTTTCTCTTGCACCAAAACACCAAGTCAAATTACTCATGGCAATAAACCTGATTCTGACTTCACCCTGATGATGTCTCTCCCTCCTCTGTGTCCTCCCTGCAGCACAACCTGTCTTCCTCATCATGGCCTCTGGAGCTTTGTTCCCCAGCATGGTGTCTGGGTCCCGCGGCTCCTCCAGCAAGTACCTGGTGGAGTTCCGGGCCGGTAAGATGACCATGAAGGGCAGCACGGTGACCCCTGACAAGCGCAAAGGTCAGGTCTACATCCAGCAGACCGACGACTCCCTCATCCACTTCTGCTGGAAGGATCGGACGACCGGGAACGTGGATGATGTAGGTGACATCGTCTATGTGTAATAAAAGCTTCCTCTGTGTACAACCCTATTATTAACCTGGTTCCTGTCCTGATTTAGGACCTGATTATCTTTCCTGATGACTGTGAGTTCAAACGGGTGAACCAGTGCACCACCGGACGAGTCTATGTGCTGAAGTTCAAAGCTGGCTCCAAAAGACTCTTCTTCTGGATGCAGGTATGCAGCATGATTGTCTGCTCCCCACACTTTGATTTGCACTTGATAAAAACACACAATGATAAAGGTAAATGTGGAGGAAATTAACATTTACTATGAAGGTAATAACACTAGTAAATATACTGCTATTTCATTTATTCTTTCCCAGCAGAGGGTTAGGGAGGGCTAAAGCTTCATTAGGGTCATCAGTTTCGATGATAGGCCCACAACACCTCTAGAGGGCTCATCGGCAACACCTGACATCCCAGGTCCACCCCCCTCTGCTCTTACTCCCTCGAACCCTGCTGTTGTTCTATAGCCACCGGCTTGCCTTTTTGGCTGCGCCTGAGAGGGCTTTGATGGCCTGACAATGGGCTTGGCCTCGAATTCCCATTTCTTTAAGCAGCCTGGTAGTTGATTGCCTATGAAGCCTCTGCAGTCATCTTCAACTGGGCAAACCTTCGCTTTTAAGCCGTGTTGTTTGGTGTCAGCTGCCAGCTCAGCGTACTTACGTCTCTTGCGTTCGTAGGCCTCCACCACCGCATCCTCCCAGGGCACAGTGAGCTCACTGATGTAGACGAGGTGCAGTGAAAATATATGTTCAAGTCGCTGGGAGGAAGACGTTGACCAAAAAAATACAGAATAATGCCACCCTATCCTTTTAACAGATGATAGTCAAACCTACTCTTACTGCGACTTTCCAATTCATTTTAAATTCATCTTATTGTATTATTACCACAAAATTATATCAGTACTCAATGTAGTGAAACTACTGAATAAACACTTTGTTTATTCAGAAATTCATCACCAGTGAGCCAGATTAAACGTCTTGGTTTTGTTTGTCTGATCTCAGGAGCCAAAAACCGACAAAGACGAGGAGCACTGCCGTAAAGTGAATGAGTATCTCAACAACCCGCCCATGCCCGGTGCCCTTGGTAGTGGCGGCAGCGGAGGACATGATCTGTCTGCCCTGGGAGGTAACAAGTATTTTCCTGTAATGTTCAAGAGCTTCAGACATGCTGTTAGGACACATCTGAAAACAGAAATTTGTTCTGATGCTTTATGTCACCTGTTATTTTTCTCCTGTAAAGGCGAGGGCGGTCTGCAGAGCCTTCTGGGTAACATGAGCCACAACCAGCTCATGCAGCTCATTGGACCAACTGGACTCGGGGGAATCGGTTCGTGCCTGCATGTTAATCAGACAATGGAGGAGAATATCTTGGTAAATGTAGTTTCATGCTCCCAGGAGAATCATGTGGCTGTTTTTCTTTCTTCTGAACGACAGGTGGTCTCGGGGCTCTGGCAGGTCCAGGATTGGCTAACCTCCTGGGCAGCAGCAGCAGCAACGTTCCTGCAGCCAGTAACTCCTCCACAAGGTACCTGAGTCCTGAACATCCAAGAAAAATCCATCTTTTCAAGTCTTTGTCAGACACAGATACTGGCTGTGTATTGTTTGGCCTAGTTGGTTCTAGTTCTATCCTAGTTGGTTTTGTTCTGCTTTTAAATTGACAAACAAAGAAGACATAAGAAGAAATATGAGGGGAAGTTATGACAGAGAGGAAGTAGAAGAGTTACAGAATCACCTGTGCGAAACACGAACGTTACACTTCAGGTTTTAGTGTCAGTACATCATAATCAAAGATCAGGTGCATCTGTGTTGACTTAATATTTGATACCAATGTCCGATAATTGCACTGAGAAAAATCTTGATCTTGAAAGTTCATTTCATTACGCACACTGCCCGATGAAGGTCGAGTTACGGAAATGTTGCAGCATTAGAATAACTATTTTTGCAAGTAAGACAGTGTGCAGGAGTTTTTCTACAAGATGTGTTCTGCTTGTCCCTCCCCCACACACCTGTTTGAAAATAGATGTGCAACATATTCCTTTGCTACAAGAAGGGAAAAACATCTCAAAGTAACATCAGATATCACAAGTTGATGTGTGTTGGTGCTTCGTGTTGGAGGTTGTAATAACGGTGAGCTGATCCTGGATTGACACTTTTTGTCCCCTCTCAGTCCGTCCACAGCTGTCACCCCTACCTCCACCTCTACTGCCAGTCGCCTTGGCTCCACCCAGGTGCCTACCACTCCCATCACTCCCTCCGCCACCTCGGCAGCCTCCCCGACAGCCACCACCCCCTCCA